TTCATAAAGTAGTGGGGAAAGGAAGAGTTTTTGGACATTAGAATTGAAAGTCCTTCATATATATATAAAAAAAGGGCTTACTAAGGAATATGGATTCAGGTAGTCGGAGCCTGACCGATTTGGATGGCTGCTCAGTGAAATTCTTATATCTCCGAAAATAATTTCAATTTTGGAAAATCCTCTCGTAGACATATACTTAAATAGTTAAGCTATAAAAATATGCAAAAAATTTCGAATTGTTTTTTCTAGACCAGAATACCTACTCCGAATTTCTCATGAATTTACGATCGGTGAGGCAAGCCATGTCGTTTTGTAAATGGTAAATTATAAACCTAACAAAGAGATGAGTTAAAGATGGAAGAGAAATAGTAAAACTACGTAATATTTGAGAGTGTTCTGGAAGGTAGCATTGAGTTTATAATTTTAGGTACTACGCTAGTCAAAATAAACTCAGATTTAGGTTGAATTCTTTTGAGAAGATCTGAATTTGGCTTGTAATACTTACAACTTCTTATCTTATTCCCCACTACTTTATGAACCTTCTCCATTTTAGTAAACAGAAAATAAAAAGAACCCATATAGGTTATTGATTTTAGTTTCGATATTTTACTAGGTCATTTCTAATTTCTGAAACTTAATAATCGTAGCCACAGAGTGGTGTTTAATGATATAGTGACCTCATATTTCGCATAGATTCATCTTGTGTCCTTAACTAGCATATTTTAATTAGTTCGATAATAAGTACTGTAGAGTGGCCTGGTGATTGAATAAGTACAGCACTAAAATCGTCTATTATAAAATTTGCAATTATATTCCATTTGCCTCGAACAGCTGGTATTTATCAAAATGACTTTGAGGTAAGCTGGGAGAGTCTTAATTAATGTAGGTCAATTCAACAATTAAAATTTATTCATGGAGGTCAATAGGGGGTGAAGGTGGGGGGGGGAGGTAAACACATGTTCTACGATGACCTTTTATATTCGCATTTATAGATATCCAATGTGGTCAGTAGAATAAATCGTGCCAACAATAACCAGGCCTTAATGGTGGCAAAATTGATGAAATGCTCAATCGGCGACAAAATCAGATCAGATAATATTTCCACTTCTTTGATGAACGGAAACATTAATTCATTTGCATTTATTACCTTGGTATGGCAAAAATGTAAGCACTGAATAGAATTGCCAATATCATAGCTATCATGAGCATGTCCGCAATAAGACTTATTTATACCAAATGACGGGTGATTCGATAGTTATCATTAGCCCTTTAGTTGACTTCGGGCTTCACAGAGGGGAAGGAACATCAAACTGAAAAAANAAAAAGTCGAGAGGAGGGGAGGAAACAGAAGGGTGTTTCAAAGGTGTAAAAGAGACAGACACGAAGGTAGAGGAAAAGGTAAGATGAGGTGAGTACTGAGGAAGTAATCGAATATGACATACAGTTGGGTGATGGTAGTTTGAAGTGAGAAGTCAACTGGGGGTTTGTAGACTATTTTGCCGTATGAGTGTATGTCCCCCCTCCCCCACAAATGCACCACGTGGAGGTTAGTCAATAGCACACAATGTCGTAGATTCTAGCAAAATTGGTCTCAAAAATAAATTCGCGCTGGAATATGTATATACAGATATATATTTCCGATTGACATAAAATGAGAGTGCCAGCAAGTTCAAGCCAATAGATAACGGGGGAAACTCTCATTTCGTTCAATTTGCACAATCGAAAATTTTAATTCGAATTTAATCAATTATTTTATGTTCATATTAATGAATACATAGGCTTGATGAAATGTATTTCAATTTCGTTTTGTTAAGTACCTAACCTGAAAGGCTAAAATTCGTTCATAGATATAGTTGACCTCATTTTAATTGTGCAACAAATGCCCATCTGTGATTGGTTCATTTAAGTCCATAAATCCGGAACACTATTTAAGGATGAGAATGTAAACACACCCATCATAGTCTCTGTGGCTTGTCGGTTTCACGTGGAAAATGAACAATTCGTGTAAATAGCCCATTTTCTTTATCTGATCTTGACTTTCCGTTAAACTCTAATATTAAAATTTCGATTTTTTAAGGCAATACCCCTTCCCTTACAAGTATGTGCTTGGACGTCATTGTAAGTAATCTTACATCACTGATAGCCACTCATCGGGATCCTGATAAGGAATATCCTAGCTATTCCTGGCGAAATTTTCCTTCAAACTGGCGGATTGAGCCTCAACTGGCGAAGGAGTTAATTAAAAGATTGAAAATTTGTGGCGAATTTATTCCAAGTCTGTTTACAACGGACTATACAATGCTGAGCTCCTTCGAACTTAACAATCTTCAGTTCAATTCTCATTCGTGCTCTCCTGAGTCTCTGAAAAGTCTTCAAATCACAAGTTTAAATGTTGCTTATGCAAGCGGAATCACATTTGAGGAAATCGTCTCTAACTTGAATAGTGAAACTCGTGAGAAACTTACCAGTCTGAACATAACTGGTATGAGAATAGTGGATGCTTCGGACTTTTTCCATCTGAGAAACTTGAGCAGTTTGGATATTAGCTACACAAGTGCTACTGCGGAAGATCTGCAAGTTATAGTCACAGCATGTTCACATCTGAAATACCTCGATATTTCAGTCACCTCTATTGAAGATATAAGTTGTCTCCTTTCACTGAAAGACCAACTAGAGGGTCTCTCCATGCATTTCCAAATATTGCCAAAGAGTAGAGTGTTGGAAGAGATGATATCGATAATTGTACAGCTGGTGGAACTTCGGAGACTTGAATTTTCGTGTACCAAGAGACGAAAGCGTCCTTTACTACCTTTGACGGATTTTTGCTCGAGTGATGCTCTAATCCATCTTGAGCATTTTGATATTTGTGGCAATCCGCTTTCCTTTCCTCCAATTGCAATTAGGTGCGTTTATTCAAGACTTTTTGTTTCATTTATTTGTGTTTTTTATTTATTATTGTATAGTATATAGAACACATCATGCGACAGGCACAGCCTTAAGCGCTAGAATTCATTAACTTCGATATCTTATCAAGCACTAGTCTATCACAATTATATTGATTAAATTAGAGATCATTTGAATGGAAACACAGACATCACAGTTTAATTTCCTGTCATTGAAAGGTCAGCTTTGAACAAACAGATGAATACGATTTTCAAAGCAAGGATCGACCACCAGTGTATTTTTAATGTAATTTCTTAATCCAAGTCGAAGTCATTTCCTTTGAAAAAAGGTGTTATTTTTTTAAATAAAGCACCAAACTTCAAAGATATTATTACACTTTCGGTCATTTGGGCACTAGTTGGTGCAAGTTAGAGGTTTTCTTCTGAATGTCAAGATGCCGGGTGCTTTCAAGTTAGGAAATGTACATATTGAGACTATCGCATAACTTCTGTACCCTTCCTGCATTTAACAGTGCTAGTACTCTATCACACCACCTTCTCAGGACTTAAATTGATTCATTGGAAACTGTGGCAACAACATTATGGGGAGGGGAGGGGGTATGTGGTGCCCGACTGCTTGGAAGACCTCAGATGAGTAAGCATTTTACTAATTTTCAAACCTTCCTTGCCACACAATCACCAAATAAGGAGGAGAAGACGATAGTCGCGTGCACCCGGAGTGATAGCTCTTAGGCGCAATGGGACATGCCACCAGAGTGAAGGTCTTCCGTTTGTCAGCGGAAATATCGATCATCATCCTAATAATTAAACAGTTAGTCACATACATCTAAAGAAAATTAAGAAATAAGGCTGTATGTTGAGAGTGAAAAACAAATACGAGTAACCTCTAGAGCGATAAAAGTCCCTTCTTGCCCATTATTTAACAAGATTAGAGAATTTCCCAATTACGAACTAATTGAGTATATATATACAAACTCAGAGTTCTTAAATTTCACTTCACTTAAAAGGCACTTTATCGAGAATCACCCGAAGATCGAATTTCTCGGGCTGGCGTTCTGGCCGGGCTTTGATGATGCTCTTGAAATTGAAGAGATTGTTTCGCAATATCCGCATATAGTGGTGAGTTCAAATTCGACTAAAGCCAAATTTATCTTTGAAATTTTATCGCAAACCTTATCAATTTATGTATTGATGTTGAATTGTGCATTATATGAATATTAGTTCTTTTTATTTCATTTAGTCAAACTAACTTGTTGGATGAATGATCAATTTCAAGTCACGATATATGCATCGTTATATGACGATATATTAAGTCGAGGCCAAAAAGTAAAGACGAATCCAGAACTCTGTGTGATGTCCAACATCCAGGCTCTTGA